GCCGCGGGAGGGAGACCCTCAGTTCAAACCCTTGGCCCCCGCGCCCGCCGCGCTGCAAACTGGGACATGTAGTTCCCACTCCCGCCCGCCTCGCGCCGCGCTCTCCCCGCTCTGGACCACAACTCCCAGGAGCCACGCACCGCTTCTTGGGAATTGTAGTCCTGACGCAGGCCGTCGCCGCAGACCTACGGAGCCGAAGGACTCGCAGTCCCACAAGCCCCCGCACGGTCCGGTTAGCCGGTGGAGGGCGCTGCGTTGGCGCGTGGGGCTAGGTAGGACGTGAGTACCAGCTGCAGCTTGGACCCCGAGATGTACCCCAAACCCCGCAAGCCTCCTCCCTGGATTGGCCGGGGGATCCACCACCCGCTGTCGCAGGGCAGACGCATTCTGACTCTGGTGTCCAAGAGCCAAGTCCTGCAGAAGATGCCCTGAGCGCTCTGCTCCGGATTTGGGCATCTAAGGCCTCGTGCAGGGCGCCGTCTGGAGGCCCGAGGGAGCAGTAACAGGTTCCGGAGTCTGGGAGAGGCATGGGCTGGGGTTAGCAAGGCACCAAGGGACTTGGAGAGGCTGCGCGGCCAGGGACTCTGTCTCCACAGTCATCTACCGGATGCGAATCACTGGCTGCCACTTCAAATAAGTCATTGACCACTTTGGACCTCAGTCTTCCCATCTGTGAAATAGGATGTTGATAGTATCTATCTCATCGGGCTGCTGTCAGGATGCTATGAGCTGATTCGCATCATGCACTGAGAACAGGGCACAGGGGAGAGAGCATGAGCAATTAGGTTGTCACCACCCTTGCTGCTGGAGCTCCGGGAGAAGGAACAGAATGCACTGAGTTGAAGGGATGGCCTGGCCCAGGGCAGGTTGGGGAGGAGGGGAGGAACAGTGTCCGCATCTCCGCCAGATGTCTACCACCTCCTCAGTGACGCAGATGCTGGGTGATTTTCTGTAGGGGGCACGATTCTGGGGGAGGGTAGAGGCCAGGGGACTGAGGTCTATAGTATTGTGGGCCCCACAGTCACTAAAATTCAAGTCAAATAACTGTGAGGCCAGATGGAAGATGGGATGTCCAGATGACCCCAGCTGACCATGACTTAGATATAACTGAGCTTCCCAGCAGCCAAAGTGAAAAGGAAAACATAGGTTATGAGATTCTTAGTAATTAGTATAAGAAAAAAGCATGGAATTCCTCATAGGGAGCAAAGGTTTTCCAGCGTAACAGGAGAACACAGCACCTCCAATTTACAAACTGGCTCTGATTCTGCCCCTCACATGAGCCTGGGCCATAGCTCTTAGCCCAGCCCAAAAATGTAAGCCCTTGAGGCCAAAATCTCCTGGTAAGAGAGTGTGTGTAGCCTTTGAGGGTCCAGCAATACCAGTGACACTAGGGAGATTGGAGCCACACACCCTTCAACCTCTCTCTCAACAGATGACAACTGGCCAAAACAAGGAGCTGGCCAGGGACCTGTAAAACAGAAACCAGCAGTAACTCCGGAGAACCCAGCCCCAGAGATCAGGCTGCAAGGACTGCAAAGCTGGCTCCCCATCTCCCACAGGGATGTGTCCATGAGACTGCCCAGCCAGGCCCCCCAACAGGCAGGGTTAAGTGGATGGAGGACTGCTCAAAGGGAACTCCCCTTTGTGCTGGCACCACTTCTAAGAACCATGACTGGGGATCCAACAAAGATTGGAGCACAGGGGAGAGAAGGAAGCCCACATGGTCAGCGTGGAGCAGCTCAGTCTCTACCCTCTGCAACAGGAAGATGTGCATCCTAGAGGCCTCAAAACAGCTTCAGGTCCCTAAGAGTAGAGTCAAAAGGAGAAGATGAGCCCAGCCTGCGTGGCTCAGTGGTTGAGCGTCAACCTATGAACCAGGAGATCACGGTTTGATTCCCAGTCAGGATATATGCCCAGGTTTCGGGTTCAATCCCCAGTGGGGGCTGTGCAGGAGGCAGCCAATCGATGATTCTCTCTCATCACTGATGTTTCTATCTCTCTCTCCCTCTCCCTTCCTCTCTGAAATCAATGAAAACATTTTTAATTTTTCTAAAGGGAGAGGATGAGCACAGGCCTCTCAGAAGTCTCTCCTGGGATATCAAGAAGGGTGTGTGCCCGATGCCCAACTCTGGCCCAGGCCTCAATAGGGCAGAGTCTGGGCTGTCAACCAGCCCCTGGAGCAGGTCGCTAACAAGGAGCCAGCCTCGAGGCCAGTCCCCATCTACTCTCTCCATGGGACGGGTCAGCACAAAGTACTGGGGAGAGAGCGGACATGCAGACACTCTGGAGAGCCAGCCTGAGGGCTCACCCTCACCTTCCTGGGTAGACTGCCCTGGACAGGGACGGTCTCCCAACATCCTGTGCAAGGGGCTTTGCATAAGGGATGCTGCTAAGTGTTTAGCTGGACTGAAGACGCGCCAGTGCAGCCCTGTGAGTATCCGCTCGTGCACGAATGTAAGGACACGGAGGAGAGGAGGCACTACTCCCTTGCCCAGCCAGAGTGGGAGCCCAAACTGCCTGCCCGCGGTCCTCTGCCTCTGTGAGAAGCTGGGTGGTCTCCACCTCAGGGGCTTTGGGGGCCACAGTGACAGCTGGTAGAAGCAGGCATATCTCAATGCATCAGAGGCCCACTGACGCTACAGACCCAGGAGAGCAAGGCGCTGTGGCCCCTCAAGGGCGATGGCCAAGAGGTGGGGCCCCTGCAGGAGGAGTGCCCAGAAGAGGGTTCAGCCTGTGGGGCTGAAGCAGGGCATCCAGGGTCTGGCCCAAGGAAATGGACAGAACAAGTAGGGGGCAGATGGCTTCCAAGCTGGGGACCTGGGGACCACAGCCCTTCCCCCGTGATGGGAGCCCTGAACTCCAACACAGTGCAGGTGGCTCCTACATGGGACCACCACCGAAGGGGGAGGGGTGTGGCCCTATGCAAAGTGAGCCAGAGTCCAGGGTCCAGGTGGGGTGACCCTGCTCCAAGGCCCATGTGGCCCAGCATGAGCAGTGGCCTCTAGGTGGCGGGAGTGAGCCATGGACCTGCCTGTCGGCTAGGCATTCACCTCCCCTAGGGAGGTCCAGTCCGTGTGGCCACCACCCTGAGCAGCCCGAGTGGGACTGTGGCTAGTCCTGGAGAGAGGCCTTCCCCCGTGGAGGCTGTAGGTGGGTCCCACCCTCGCCAGGGCTCACGCTGAAGTAACACTGGCCGACCCCCAAACCCCCAACTCCCACCTATGAGTTCATGACTCCCAGAACCTTGCTCACCCCTGACCCCTGAGGGACCTTACCCGACCTTGGGAATTTCCTTCTCCAAGGAGCTTCCCCAACATGCGCCCAGAGGGTGACATCAGACGTGGGACTCTCCTTCCAGGGGGTTCGTGAACCTGACAACAGCCTCAGCAGGGTGCCCCCCAGAGCTGGGTCCTTCCACCGCCCCCCACCCCTCCCACCTTATTCCAGGCTGGGTTTGGAGCCATGAAAATGTGGATGTGTGGGGAATGGAGGGCTCCTTATTAGAGGTCAAAGGTGAAGAGGAATAAGGGGTGGGAGACAGCACACTTACCTCCCAGACCCCTACCCCATCCTATTCCAGAAAGCCCTCCTGGACACTCTGTTGCCCCACCACTAGGGGGCCTCGCTCAGTTCCCACAGTGTGCTAAGGGGCGCTGCGCACACCACCCCCAAGCCCCAGGCCTGCCCCACTCCCCTGGGGCTGCCCTCCCCTCAGGGTTGTATCCCCTCCAGGGCTTCCACACTCCACCCCTTTACTGAGAGAGATGCGGGTGACCTCAGGAGCACTCTGTAGGAGCCCCGCTCTGTCCTGGGGGCTCGGAGGGGGGGCCAGACACAGCCCTGACAGGGGTCTGGGGACACCCCAAAAACACGCCAGGGTCTACTCCACACAGGCCCCGACACACCTTTAGCCCAGAGGCCTGCTCCTCCCCCGTCCTCGGGCCACAGAAACATCGGAAGCTCAGGCCATTTATTTTTCTATTTGTGTCCCCTGCCCCCGCCCGCCCAAAGCCGGCCATGACCCCAGCGGGTTGTATCCGCACTTCCCTTCTGGCGGGGGCAGAGGCCTTGGTGGGAAGGCCTGTGCTGCTAAGCTCACACACCCCTCGAGTCCCGAGTCCCGTGGCCACAGGCAGGCAGGGGGTCTTGCAGCCTAGGGACACTCCCATCCCTGCCACCTGCAGGCAGCTCTCCTGGCCAGCACCCAGCGCCTATGACCCTCTTCCTCAGACCCTCTGGCCTACCATGCGACCACAGGTCTCCCGCACAGGGACTCCGTGGGACTAAGACCCAGCCTACTCCTCTGAGGGCAGGGACCGGGGACGTCGATCCTGTGAACCAGTGCATGTCTTGGCTCTGCACTGCAGCCCTCTCTCTGGGCCTCAGTCTCCCAGTCTGCAGAATGGGAAGAGGCACCTGCCCAGAGCAGGGTCTCTTGGAGTCTCCAGCCAGTCCTTCAACCAATCACCTTGGCCCAGGTCCAGCTTCCCAACCCCCTCTCCCCCACACCCTCAC